TATTTATACGATATCAATTCGTTTGAATTTTTGTGCTTCCACGTGCCACGCTGATCCCCGAGGAGCATATTTTATCGAGAATTAATTTCCGACCGTATTCGTGGTTTGTTTTGCCAAAGCTGCGCGCGATTATACGCGCGTAATGCGTGGTTTCGAAAGCAATTAACGGAGCACGATTATGTATACGCGAGTACGACGTAGATATCGCGCGCTACCGATATCGCGTTTAAGTATTTGCCGAGCGCGCGCGCGAGAGAGAGAAAATTTCTCTGCGCTGCCGAGCCGCGAGCTATTGCACACGAGCTAATCATAAGTGCCTTAGGTGTACTTTAGGTACGAGTAGAAACGCAGTAGCTGTCGTCTATGTACTATATACACTATACTGTACGAGCGATAGAGAATGTGTACAGCAGCCGCAAAAAGTCACAAGCTCGGGGGGGCTCGATGGGAGTAGCAGCAGCAGCAGCAGTGCACTTAGCGCACGCCCACGCGTCTACACATGGAAATTCTCGTGTGTGTGTGTGTGCTGTATCTATCTATGGCAGTGCATACGTACGTATAGGTATACGTTGTACGGAGCAACGATGCAGCGGTAGCGCGAAGCTGCTGTAAGACTAAATAATTCGCGTCGACGAGCAAGCGCGAGTAGAAAGAGAGAACTCCTGCCTATATAGCCGTGTACACGCCAAAGGGTACACACGACGCACAATGTATGCACCCTCGGTGCGCGCGCGACACGCCTACGCTCGCATCCAGTGCATTCGAGGCAGCAGCAGCAGCAGCAGCCGCGCAAACATACTTAGACGCGCCGAGCACAGCGAGTATAATGCATCGAGTATGTATATGTGCGAGGTAGAAAAAAAAAAGACGAGCAGTGTACGCCGCGCATAGCGAACTCTTTCTCTCTTTCGACGTCGTCGTTGTGTGCACCTGCAGCAGCAGCAGCAGCAGCCTACATATCAGATTTCCCATCTATTCGCGCGATAGGGCGCTGCTTGGAGCGACGCGCGTAATAAATTCGAGGGCCTCGACGTCGTCGTCGTTGTCGTCGTTGTCGTTCGAGGTGCAAAAAGAGAAACGCAATTATCGCTTGCCGCTTGATGCCTGTGTATATATAGTCGTGTTGTATATATGCATATATGTAGCTCGTTCGGTTCGTCGTCGAAACCTACTGCCGTCGAGTAATACGTATACGTATTACGAGCGTCGAGGGTGCGCGTCGTCTAGGTCCTTAACGCCCATATATATGTATATACACCACCACGCATGTATACACAGACAGACGTCGTCGCTCGATCGCAGAGGAGAAAAAAAAAAGAGATCGTTGGGTCAATGGTGCTGCAGAACGCGACGCGTCGAGTTCTAAGTTCGTGCGATGACACGCTGCTCATGATGACGACTCTTCTTTTTCATTCATTCGTTCGTTCATTCATTCATTCTTCGTACCTATCCTTATACACGCGTCTGTATTATACAGACAAAATATATAGGCGCGCATATAACTTCTGTTACGTCCGTATGCCACACACTCGAAGATGGCAACAACACATTGTTTACCGGTGTTTGTGGGTATATATGGGTTACGCCAAGCGAGGTGAAAAATTATGCACGTTCGAACCATGCACTCGTAGAGAGAAAGTTGAAAAATGACACTTCTGCAAATTTAATACCCCCGGTAATATTCGATTTAAAGATGCTCAAAATTTAATTTACGTATTTAATTATGATTTTTTAATTCGTACATTTTCACTGAGTGGGTTTTCATACAAAACGTACTCTCTGATGCCAGGATAAAACCATTTACCTTCGAATGCATTTGCATGGATGAGAATAAGAAGGGTAAGAGAGTAACTATCATTTTATTCTGATTTACCGGCCTTTACATGGTACAGCCCATATATATCGTATTATAATACTTGTTCGATTCATACAATATAGGATAAGATGGGTAGGTGTCGAGCTGCCATGATGGAGCATTTTTATGATAGTCTAAAGCGCCATAAACAAGTGTACGACAGTCGAATGGCGTGCGACTCGCATGATGAACCCATAAGCGCGCCCAGCTTGCGTCTGCTTGGCATACTCGACACATTAATCCACCTACAATATTGTAAACGGTCTTTATTATCGATTACTTGACACAATGCGATCGCTCAATGCTAACAAATGCTGTAATAATCGTTGCTCTCGATGTGTCAATAGGACAATTGTCGATCGTTCAAAACAATCTTTAGAATTACCACTTTTTCGGATGTGAAACGACTTTAAGATTAAAAATTCTTATTGGTGCCGCACAATCTATTCTGCGTTTCGTTATTGCACGAGATGACGTTTTAAAAAAAAATATCTAATATTTGTAGAAAAACTTCACGCTTATTCCCTTCGGCGTTTGAAGGCATCTAAAACACGGGGAATTTTTCGATGGGTAACGATCCCGTTTGTTCGTGGATAGACGTATTCCTAAAAATTAAAGACAGCTGAGTATACTTTGCACTGCTTGACCCTGCTCTCTTTGACACTTTTCACTTGAAAAACTGTAAGAAGACGTCAATGGTATAAAGCCCCTTTCGAAACTAATTTTTTTTTTTCATTCAAAACCGTCCTTCACGAATGTAGATGCATGACAAGATTGAGATTTATTAAAATCACTATCACAGTTTTGAAATTACAAATCGTTGCAATCTTCACCCCTGTATGATAAGTGTATAAAAAAAAAATACATCTCACTTTCATCAAAATCATAGCGCGTCACATATAGTAGAATGAGTCAATGTACACAGCACATAAACGCGAGCGAAGAAAAAAAGTAAGAAGACGAAAGGAAAGATAGCGAGAAGCCTATTATCGTGGGATGTCGTGGAATATAATGGTGATAGTGAAATAACAATGCAAATAACAAATAGCGCGCGCGACAAAAGGGGGCTCCAAGAGTGGTCGCTCGCACGCCACGTTCTGTGACAATGGAGCAGCGCCAGCCCAGAGTATATCCAGTGGTTATATATACGTACAAGCTGCAACCCATACACTTTACAGGCAACAATGGCATTGGCCAAATGGAGTTCCGTATATTTTAGAGTGTCCCTTAATTTATTTTTATTTCATTTTTTACGTTCCGATTTCCCTTTACCCCTAATTCTTATTAGAGTTTTTCTTGACGCTCTGACCAACTGATTTTTTTTAAGTCGCAAATGTGAACGGAAAATTCTGAAAAAAGTCAAGAGAGTTCTTCGATTCTTTGCAAGCATTTTCACATTGCTCTTTGACTTATACTATTATTTTGACTTTGCCACTTGCAGATTCACAGACAAAAAGGTACTCGCCATCTAGTGGTGGAGGATTAAAGTAGTATTACTGTCATGAAATTGGTTGAATAATGGTGTAAATCTTTTGAAATTAAATCGTTATGTAAGCGATTTAATCAAATGTTAAATCATTTAAATTAATATTAGTCGATTGATATTTATTACATTATTGTAAAAAAAAACAAGCTAAATATAAGACAATTAAAGATTATAATATACTTTAAAACACTTTAAATGGTCAATTTTTGACATTGCACATTCTACACTCGCACGTGCAATTAAAAATTCTTGCACGTGTGCCAAACGTATTATTGAGCAAACAAGTCAATGTCACGCGAAAGATCACGTTCAATTGCGACGCATGATTTCGTTTTGCAGTTTCACGAAATAAAATGTACTGAAACGAGCAGAAAATAATTTTCTATCGCAAGTGCGAACTTGAACATTATCCCGGTTTTGTGGCAAACGCTTATCGCAGTGTAGTCACCTTTTTTTAACGCCAATATTGTACAGGAGTTGCGTGGATTATTTTTCAATGGAAGCTTGATATTTCACGTGAATGCGAAAGTCTATAAAACGGCGGCTCATTTTTGCCTGCGAAAAAATCGTTTCGAAATATCGTTGCTTCTTAAGCAATTTTGTGCTCTCTTCAATTTCACGTATGCAACTGTATATCTATATAGCTCACGTCGGTATTGGGATTCTGCGAGCTCGCATCGATTACCGATACACCCTGTGTATATGTGTGTGCATGCGTAGGCGCGCTCATGTGCATGCACGCCACACACACGTATACACACATGTGGATGAGTACACAGAGAAGTCTGCGCAAAACCAGACAGTCGAAGCAATTTCAATTCACCCTCGGCCATTTTAACTTCCCCGTATATTTATATATATATAGGGTCTATCCGGTACAAAACAGCCTCTCTCTCTGATTGTAATCAAGCGGTTCGAGCTTCGCGTGCGGACTTCCGTTCTTTCCTCTTTGCCATGGCTTTGCCGCGCCCGTATAAATATCCCTTCTCTTTTCCATCACCAGCATGCACGTACATACACGCACGTATATTCAAACTTGCCCACCTAGACGAATCTGCGCGTGTACGTGATATACAGATACGAAATCCGAGAGAAAAAAGTATCTGGCCAATTCTTTTTATAAATGTAATCTTTAGCCGCTGACGGCTTGAACACGGTTCACTGTCGATGCAAGTACAAAATAATACAAACAAAATTATCAGCAAATTTCGACCAACGCGTAAAAAAAAAACGGAAGCATTACAATTCCATACGTTTTTTAGTCCAGAAGCGATATTATCGGTGTCGTGCAAAGATTACGCAGACAATGCATTACGAATATTGTATGTACATGCTGCACAAGGGCGACTATACATGGCCGCAGGATGCAACCAATGATCTGAGCAACGATGCTTTTTTTTTTCATTCTCGATCGAGCAACAGCCTTCGTCGGAAGAAAGAGAGGCGCAACGATGACAATTGCCAAGCCACCGAGCCGACTCGAAATTGCCCAAGACAATGAAACGTGAAATTAGCCGAGATACAGTATGTACGCGGGGCGATCCGGACAGCGTCTCCGACGTCCTACTCGAGCTTCACTTTTTCGTCGTCGAACCGGCGTATCAAAAAATTACAAAACAAAATATGATATATATTACATGATGTGCGTGCAAAACAAACCTGCGTAGGCGTGAGATGTATGATGGAGGCCAGATGCTCTCGCTCGGGCGCGCTCAGGTACTTTTGCTGCTTGAACCTCCTCTCGAGCTCGTAGACCTGTGCCTGGGTGAAGAGGACCCGGCGCTTGCGACGCTGGGCCAGCGGGAACTGCATGGCGCTCACGCCCATGCCGACGCCGACGCCGACGCCCATGCCCGACGACTTGGCCATGTCGCCGACCGACTGGCCGACGCCGCAGCCGGCCATGTTCGAGCCGGCCGACGCCGCCGCTCCCATGAGGCGCGATACTGCAAAAGTCGTACAATTATGTCACGCGATATTCGCACCAAATTCCAGCGAGTGCATGGTTATACATATAGTGCTCAGCCCGGGTTTTGAAAAACCCCCTAAGAGCACACGCTAACATTTTTACCGATCTTTCACTTCCATACGTACAACGCGGGTCGTAAATCGCGATGACGGAGCAGTTTCTTCGTGTGAATCTGTCATTCGGATATGTGCTGGGATTTGTTTGAGGAACTTTTTGTTTTTCCGTCGAGTAGGATCTCCCACGGAGACGTAATTGCAGGATCGCTTTCTAATGTCGAGTGAAGCGATTTTTAATGTACACACAAATGTCATTTTGTTACGTATTCGAGTGTCCTCGAGCTCGATGGTTCGTTTTGACTTTGTGCCTCTCTCGCCACACGAGTCTCACGCAAGTGTCGAAAGATTATACGCGCAGCCGCTTTGAGAAATTTTGAAACACAAGCGAGCGATGTTAAAATAAACGCTCCATTCTCGCTCGCGAATTCAAATTTTCTGATTAAGTGCGTTGTTCATGTTGCGAGTGCGTGTATTTTTGGAGTGTAGGTTATTCAACGATCGATGTTTCGTACGAGCGAGTGTACCAGGTTAAATAAAAAGTGTACGAATTCGCGTTCTCTGCGAGTTAGGGCGATAATCGATGGCGAATAAAAATAATAAGCAACGCCGTACGAAAGGAGGAATGTGCACCGTTACGCAGATTGAGTAGCAAGGATACGTGTAATCGTTATAAATTGTTATCCTTTGCAGGAAAGGCATCGATTTCCGGTCGCTGCACAAGAGATGTCACGAGCAAAATATAAACCACCCAACGCAGAGACACGCGCAGTATTAAAAGATCATCGTTCATCCGATGTCAGACGAAAAAAGAGAGCGAGAAAGAAAGAGACGAGAGAAGTTCGAGCATCATACTTAAGACCAAATTACGTCCAAACTAAAAAGATACGATCATCATCGACGTCGTCATGGTCGTCGTCATTATCATCATCGCCATCATCCGGTAGTAAAGACGAGAAGCGTGATCCTTCATCACATTCATTATAATCGACGCGCATGGCCCAGTGTGGGCATATTGTAATGCTCTCGAATGAAGAGGCCGCACGAGCCCGCGAGCGCCCGACGGTGTACAATAATTAAGACCTGTGCTCGTGTGTGCGTGTGTGTGTTGTTGTGCTTGCGCGTATTATATACGCATGCGAAAAGCATCTTTCGACGTCTCGACATAATACTCGAGGCAGTCGAATCGATTTGTAAAAGTATAACACGTCGACAGCCGAGGGCCATGCGTGATATAGCTCGAATGAAGACGCCTCTCGCACACGCGGAAGAGAAAAAAAGAGACGAGAATTAAAATTCGCTAAAACACCTTTGTAACGCGAGTTTCTTCTCTCTGCTTCTTCCTTTTCTTTTTTTCGACGCTGATCGTCGTTTGCACAAACACTTGCAGGACAAAGGAGACGATTTAGGCTGTCTCGATATGTGTCGAATCACCTTCTCTCGTTGCGGCGTGGAATCGAAGCGAGCGCGCGGACTACCCAGGAGGTCTTCCGAATACGCATATAATATACCCACGAAAATTTGTTCCTGCTCGCACAAGCACATTCACGCGTAATAATAATGTGTATCTGCGTCGGTGCGCAGTAACAATGGGAAACGCGTTGACTCGGATCGGTGCGTTCTCAGTTTTTGCCTGAAAACGAGCTTGCATAGAATTGGATTCTGCACGATGATTCAAGCAATGAGATTCGAGAAAGAAGATGTTTGGTCCAGGACAATTAATTGAGATGTATCTCTGTGTTTATAGCACAGAAAAAGAACACAACGAGTATGACATCGGTCCAGCTAGGTCGTATCAAGATGATTAATATTTTTTCAACTGCACAATGGAATTGTGCAAGCCAACTCGAAACCTGTTTACGATTCTATTCGATGGTCCAACACACAAGAGACAATTATTAATAGTCAAAACTTGGCTGCATTTAATTTTAATACCTCATGATTAAATTACTTCTCAGAAACTCATTCGCAACACCAGAGGCGGAAAAGCCGTCCCAAGCCTTCGGATAACAAAGCACGCGCGAAACCAAATATCTCTCCTTCTCCATGAAGCGCATAAGAAAGAGGAGGAGGATGGCGCAGGAAGAAATTCGCGGAGTCGATCGTGCATTTTGAGAGCGTCGAGTTCTGCGCGCAGCGCAAAACGTTCCCATTCAACGGAAAAATTTCACCGAGTCACGCTCGATGAACCGGATTTTATTATATATACACTCCGCGATTTATATACACGCGCTTAAATGACAGCGTGAATTCTTGCATTTGTATGCGTATAGAAGCTCTCTTGTGATGCGCGCGGTGACAAGGAACGAACGCGCGCGGATGCCGAGGCGCCGATATGATGGGCCGTCACAACCACGGCGGCCTCCTCCTCCTCCTGCTCGTGCCTGCAGCTATTTCAGCGTCGAAAATCTATTGAGCTTCTCGGAAGCAAGTGCTTCAGGAAAAAAAAAATCTCAATATTTACTCGTGGGTTAAATGAGACCCATAATATGTTGTTCACTGAAGATACTCAGTAGCTCTTCATATGGTGGGCATAAATAATATTATACGTGGCGTACAATAGATTTATTCAAAACGATGACTCGAAAAAACCACTTCTAATATTTGATTTGATAATCTTTGAAGTAATTATAAAAAAAAACAATTTTAACGCTGGGCTCACTCGCGAGACTGTTTTTTCATCGAAGATAACTATGAATTTCAACTAATGAGATGAGCTTTTTTGTAAAAAATATATCTTAAATTTACTTCAAAAAGAATGGTTTTGTCGAAACCTCTTGCGAGGGCTGAAGAAAATGATCGACAACTATAAAGCCGATTAAAAAAGAAGGATGGCATTGAAAAGTTGAGGGTATTGAAGAGTCAAAAAGTTAAAGTAGCCCAAATTCAAAGCTTTCGCCAGTGAGGGAGAGATAGAGCGAAACGCATTAATGAAATCAAACTTTCCTCGCTATATTCCCAGAGGATTTTCATTATTCGCGCACGAGAAAGCGAGTACGGAACTATCTATCCCCGACCGGCTTGCCAAGACTGGAATACTAATATACATGGACGCAGCGAGTAGAGGGAGCTTCGAACTGTAAATTGGATTGAACTTGGCGAGTCAAGATGTAAAAGCTCCCTTCCTCTCTCTCTCTCGCAGCAACGAACGCTTGCCCACTGTACGGACTCTTTCTGTGTATACAATGCGCGGCCAGAACCCCAGCGCAGAATTTATGCAATTAATCGATTGTTTGTACAACTAAAATCATTTAGAATCAGCCCAAGTTCGATGAATCGATTAATTTTATGCATGTGAAAAATACAACATCTCTATTTTGGAATCGAATGTTCATAACTTATTTCGAGACGACGCGATGAGTCGATATCAAGTATCAAGGCAATCGTTCAAGAAAATTTCATTGATAATAAATTGCGACAAATTATTCATAATTGTGCATTCGACTGATTGGATTGCACTATTTGAACGTCGAGTGGATCTTTATAACGCATTACAGCTTGTCACGCGCGCACGAGCGCCTAGTCTAATAAGCACGACGAAATATTCACGTAACCGTGTCGTCGCGTCGTCATCGCTCTCGAGCTGAGCTCGTGCGGACAACCGTCATTCGGCAATTTCCTGTGACCGATGCACGCGCTTCTGCGTATATGCGTGTGATTGCGTGGGTGTGTGCGTGTGTGTGAATGAGAAAAGCTCCGCAAGCCGGAAGGATGACAGCCGGCGTGTGTCGAGGCTCGACGAGCGCGATATAGAGCTGCACTTATCCTCGCGTACATTATCGCTATTACGATACACAATACGTGCAACCATGTGCTTGTTACCGATTTGCTCGTGGCACTGCTGCTATACACATAGTATACGTTTTACGCGGTGCGACATATTATATGCGCGTTATATATGTTGACTGTGAAACTGGATGCGCGCGGAGCTCGCACGCGAGACGTATATAATAGTCGCGTGCTGCAGACGTGATCCGTCGGCCGTCGTCAAGATTACCGGCCGATAGGACGTGTGTGAACGTCGCGCGGAGCACTGCTAGAGGCAACTTTGCGGATTTCACTTAACGCGCCGCACGAACGAATTGCTGCTTTTTTTCAACTAAATACAGGGATTTATAAACTTGTTTGTCTATTTGAGTGCTTTTTTACTTTAACCGTAAACGTTATAGAAATCACAAAGCTTTAAGTTATATATGCTAAGTGATGTTTCGTGAGATTTCTGGATTACTACAAAGATACGATTTTATACACTTTTGAAAACAAGACAACGTGTGTCGTATAAAAGGGTAAAAAAAACTAAAATAAATTTTTGTATCCACGAGGACGAAGAAAAAGCTCATGAACGTCGTACGTGAAATGATTGAAATTGAAGAACTTTCGATAAAACTACTGTAATTGATATCCTACATAAAATTTGCCTCAATTTTTTCTGTGGGATTTTGCCCATTAGAAAGTAGCACTTGTTACAATCAAGCACCATTTGTAAAATTTCAATTAACAATTCAGCCAATTACTTCGATTTTTTCGCGTTTTTAACAGGGCAACTATCGATACGATAAATTTTAGAGCCTACGCGTCGGTCACACCAAGCTGTACACACAAGGCTATAAAAAAGTAATTACCGTACTCACTTGCGAATCTGGGATCATTGGTGGTCGTGGGCGCCGGTGCGTACCAGGGATGATGATGCGACGAGACGCCGTGCGACCTCATGGGATCGGCGGCGCCGCCGCCCCCGGTCACGCCGCTGCCCGCGTGATGATAAGGCGACAGCTCGGCGGCGCAGTACTGATACTGAGGCGTCAGCTGCATAGTCGCGTAGGGATTGCCCATGCTGGCCGCGCTCATGCCCGCGGGACCTCCACCACCGCCGCCGGCGCTGCTGGTCACGCCGCCGCCACCACCGCCACCGCCGGTGCCGTTGTTCGCCCCACTGATGGGCCCGGGCGTGCTGACCCCCGGCGTCGAGCCACCGTGCAGAGGCGGACTGCCGCTGCTGGCGCTCGAGCTGCCGGTGTTGCCGCCGCCGCCCACGCCCCGGCCGCCGTTGCCGCAGGCGCTGGCGTAGGGCGAGCCCTGGCCGTGGGACACGACGCCGACCCCGACGGCCGCCGCCGCCGCGGCCAGCTCCAACTTGCGATACGACTCCTCGATCGGCGAGAGTATGTCGGTCACGCTGAAGGGGGTCGTGTGGGCGCCTCCACCGCCGACCTGCGCGTGCGACGAGTGCTGGTGTTTGGGCGACAGACTCATCGCCAGGTCGACGCCGTTGAGCTCGGGCAGCAGACCCGCCTGCTCCAGCTCCGTTTGTTGCTGCTGCTGCTGCTGTTGCTGCTGTTGTTGTTGTTGCTGCTGCTGCTGCTGCTGCTGTTGTTGTTGCTGCTGCTGCTGATGATGGTGGTACGCGGTGGCCGCATTGTTGGCGCCGTTCTGGCCGGGCTGGCTGCCACCGCCACCGCTCATCTCGGCGAAGACCTCGACGCTCCTGCCGTCGAAGTAGCGCAGATACGAACCGCAAAGAATTTTGGCGACGCTTGGATCACAACTCTAGCGGCATATCATGCGGCAGCCCCCGGGCACCCGCGCCTCAGCACACGCACACGCCTTATCGAACTAAAGTAGCAAGAGTGTCGTGTTTTTGCTTAGTCCAACTTTGGCAAGCTGGGACTACTCGTCGTATCGCCTTTGTTTCTCGTGGCACTTGTTTTATACCCTATATTTATAGCCGCTGTGTACAACTGCAGCCTAGATCCTAGTTCACTCGATTATATTACCGTAACACTGGCCACCACTGAGCACCACTCGCGCTACGTTTAAGTATTCACTGGCTCGTTGTTCACTGCTGCGGGAGAATCCAACGCTCCTACGAGGGCGCATATCACACTCTCTCGCACGAGTCGCGCGCGGGGGTCAAGTTCGCCGGCCTGCGAACCGGCCGGCGGCGGCCTCGCGATTATTTCGGAGTAGAAATGTATCCTCGCCCGAGCGGGCCGTATAATACGGAGAGGCACACAGCACCACCACCACCACCACGTTGAAGAAGAGCTTCCTAGACACACTGTACGAAAGCACTGCACATTATCCACCGGGAAACGGGGGTAACAAAAGCTCGCGGCGCGTGGTCCGACCTGAGCGACGAACTTTAATCACACGAGCGCGCACTTTTTATCTCTCTCTTTCTTTCTTTTGCTCTTCTAGGACTGGTATTGCCCGCTGATAATGCAGTCTATGTCCCGTCCCGCGCCCGCGACACTCGAGAGGATCTCAACAACACTGACACACGGACTAGACACAACTCTAACGTCGCTTCCAAGGGTTTGTTTTTTCGCTTTCTGCTCTCTCTCTCCCTGTTTCTGTTTCTCTCTCTCTCTATCTCGCTTGTTCTCGCTCTCTTTCGCTATCCCGCTCTCACCCGAGAGCTTTCTTTTTCTCTCTCTCTCCACTCTTCATCTGTATATTCACACACACTGCACATGTATACGCGAGCATACACAGACGCGGCGGGCGCGTATATGTATATCTATATATTCTATGTATATATATAGTATTGCTCAGCTCCTTGATGTATATAGAGAGAGGACCGACGGTACGTACAGCGCGGCGCTCTCGTCGTCGTCGTCGTCGTCGTCGTCGGGCTGATGCTGGCCGGGCTTGTTGTATGGATGAATGAATGGAGAGTACTGTTGGGGCTCTCGTGGAGAGGCCCTCTCACGGCCGCTTAGACCCACTCGAGAAGAAGAGAGAGAAAGAGCGAGCGAGACGGCAATAGGATGTATATAGAAGGAGAGAGAGAAAGCGAGCGAGCGGCTCGGGCTGGGCTAAACGTAACCCCTACCTCGGGCACTGCTACCCGTGTGCCGCCACCACCACCACCACCGCCACCGCTGCCAAAGCCGCCAGTACTTCCACCACTACCATCGCCGTAGCCATCTCCACTAGCGACTACCTCCACTGCTGGCTGCTGCGCTTACGTCGCGAGAAGCAGCGATCTTCGGGGCTGCACCGACAACCCCGTCGTCCGTGGCGAGTCAGAGCCTCAGCTGCTACCGAGTCGAACGCACCGTGGCTATATACGAGTTTGTACGAGCTCGGGTGAATCTTTCTCTGCACCGTCTTTTCGAGCCGCCCCTCCACCCTAATGCTCTCTGCTTCTCCTTTCGTTCAGCTTCTCCCCCTCTCTCTCTCATACCTAGGTATGTGCGTCCTCGATCTCCAGTGTGTAAAATTCGTCCGGTGTAACTGCGTTGCGACGCGCGACATACAAACACGGCCGCGACCCCGACGAACTTCCCTCCCACCAATGGGAGCCGATCCTCGCTTCGATTGGCCCGTACCGTTCTCGAGCCTCGTTGGCAAGTCGACGCGGCCAATAGCGCGCGGCCTTCCCGGAGGCGGCCATGTTTCACTCCGAGTCCGCTGCGCTGCTCTGTTCCGCTGGTGGGGAGCACGTGGACGAGTTCCATATAGCCGCGCGTATACCGTGCGCGAGGGCAGGCAGGTGAACGTCCCGCTGGAGGGGGCGACGTACTGTTCGCGCGAGCGAATTTCTGCGGTGGTCTGCAACGTGCTCTCGACCCCAGAATCCAGGCAACGATGAAAACGAGAGCCGATCTCACAGTTTCGAACGCGCGCAAGTATATATAGGGCTGCCTGTGCCATCTATATCCGCTATGTTATACAATCATATGTACGGGTTTCTCTATTTGGATAACCATGCAGCAATATATATAAATAATAATAAAAGCGGCCACCACCCGATAACGGACAAATTTTGTAGTCCCGGCAGAAATACATTGTTTCTTGACTGACTCCTCTTAAAATCGCACACAGACACCTCTCAATAGCGGACACCTCTGTTAACATACTTTTTGATTCCTCATAGAGGGAGAGCTTTGTAATGGGCTCCAAAACGAGGTTTTAAGCCAGATATCGTAGGAAAATTTAGTCACATATTTGGAAACTACATTGAATTCTCAACAAGTGTCTATATTTATGTATATGTGTGTGAATGTGTGCATGAAAGGTTTCCAACTAAGGCACTAAAAATTGTTCTATGAGAAAGCTCTTTGCCAATGAATCGTCAGCGGTTTTTCTTACATTTCAACCATTTTAGTGGACCCTATTACTATTATTAGACGCATGTTAGATGAAATTTTGAGACATATATCCAAAAATTTTGGAAAAATCATCGAAAATGAAAAAAATATCCACAATTTTGTACATTATTATTTATTATCACCTTTATAATTAGTTATAAAATAATAAATGCACAATAGCAGTATTTTTAATTTTAAATCATCATTTTTGTATTCGTTTAATGTCCACTTTTCAATAGCCGCTAATTTCCTCGATTCCTTCAGTGTCCACCAGAACAAAGTTTCTGCTACATATCATGTAGTTTACATCTCGTCAATCATGATAATACATTAAAACTTAAAGTATTGTATCGTCACCCTAGCGCAGAAGCCGCACTAATAAACTCGAATGGCAAATTCACAAGCGGCTGCAAGAAAGTGCGTTAATCAATGGAGGCGGCAACAACTGATGCAGAGTCTATTTTTGTCCTCTTGAAACGGAAAATGTGCAAGTACGCTAATAGTTGTTCCATTTCACGATGTTCCAATGGACAAAAATAGACTCCGCTGTACCTGTTAAACGCTGAGTCGTTGATTTCTTTCTGAAACATCATCTCTGTACATTAATGAGTTACGTTTCAGATGATCAATTAAAATCTACTATTTCTTTATGTTTAATTTTTGAAGGGACTTAAATTATAGTTTGAAAAATGCTATAATTGTATAAAATATAAATAGAAGATGAAAAATGTCGAAAACTTCGAAGAAAGTATTATGCAGATTGGTTCATATCGAAAAATTGCTTAAATCTCTCTTGAATGGGCTCTCGAAGAAGATCCAATCATCATGTGCTAAACAATCGTGATCCACATTCAAAAAAATCTTAATGAACTCTTTTCTATACAATTTTAATTACTTTTTTATCTTTTCGAACAAATGAGATTTTTATTCACATTATTACACTGAAACCTGAATTCTGAAACTCTTATTAACGTAAAATCTGAATTCCTATAAAACTAAAATTTTCCATAATTACAAATGTTTTTTTCAGAAATGTGTTTTCTGTTCTTCGATCTTTTTTATTTAGAGTTATAGAAATAAATCAATTGATTGGTTCATTAGTTGGTACAGCTAGGACAGAATAGTTTTAGTTAACAACGGTGGTTAAAGTAACGGGATAATTTATTTTAGAATGTGTATGCTCGTATTGGCTGCTTAAGTGATATTGCAATCCGTACTGTTGCGTACAGACGATCGGTAAAGCAGAAACTTTGCTAGTTCGTAGAGAGGAGAATGCAACTGTTTTAGCAAAAGGTAGCAACTGTACTAAACTTCCCTTGACATACTATTTTTACTTTGGATCAAATTTTTTTTTAACAATAATTTGCAAACCTAAAAATTTGTACAAAAGTGACAAATGATATTTTGTTGAATAAAAACATCAGGTTCTTATTTCTCAGTGCAAATGTTGCAAGTATTATAAATAAATGAAAAAGTATATTATATTTATAGTAACTAATTACGGTATTAAAATTTGTTGACTAATGATTAATATATTTTTCTTATATAAGTTTTTATAAGTCTAGATAAGTGATACATCCTCGTACAGATTTTAAAACGAAAAATTTACTGTTGTGATATTTTTACTACTAAGAAGAAATTTAATTATAATGAAATCAAAATTAACCCACTATTCAAATTAATTATGAAAAAAAAACCACTTCCGCAACCCCCTTGGCATCGCCGGCCAACAATTAGCAACTTCACATGCACGCGCTTTTTGACTTTATAATTATGAAATAATCAAATAAGGTCACTTAAAAATGATAAAAAGTCTTGCATTTACCGTCGAATACCAATTGAAAAATTATTGACCTCCATGAACAAAAGTTTTTTTTCGAATCAAAGAATATCCATTAGCAGCAATGTTACGTCACGTATTCGTGCTTCAGCCATTTCATGAAGGACAAAAGCCGTCAAAAGTAATTTTCAGTAAGTATCCAAAATTAAAAGTAATTTTTACCCCAACTTATGGAAATATGAAATAAGTGTACACTTAAAAGTTAACTTATGAAAGAGTAAAACGATTCGTAGCTGCGATAAACACATTTCGTGCGATCCATGACCAGTGACCGGTGCAGAGACCGTCGAATACTTTTTTCGAAATGTGGTTGAATTTACAAAGGCCTTGGATCACGCGAAAGCTCATCGCAACGAAAAACTTGCTCTCGTGGGTCGAACGGAGCTGGCGCAAAAGATTTCGTTGTCGTCATGGGCTTATTTAATGAGATCGACGTAAGAGGCTCTGATAATGATGACAAAGCTTTCCTCGCGGACAAGCTCGAGCTTGTCGACGCGAGAGGCCATGTCGGTGACGAGGAGCTTTCCTTTTGTTATCCCCACTCGGTAGATGAGACCACTGCGTGGGTCCCTACTTAAGGGGACACATACACCTTAAACTCAAAAAAAAATTTTTTGCTTTATTGAGTAGGATTTTTCCGTCCCTTTCCATTGCTTTTTTCGAAATTCCAAAATTTTGATTTTGCCCAGAGATACAGCTGTTTCCGGGAACCCTTTTTCTATACTTTACGTGTTAAATTTTTTCTTCTTTTGCGTTTTCTGGCGAGTAGTGTTTTTGGACACCTGTCGTAATATTCAGAGGGTATCGATTGAGCTTTCTGCACCAGGGTCGCGTACACTTCTTCAGAACATCAATGGTTTCGGTCACTACGTCGGATGAGACGATCGAACAGGCAGATTGCTCCACATGAACAGTTAAGCTCACATTTTTTCCATTTTTCGTATTTACCGAAATTTGAGTCATAAAAGTACTGTTTGAGAGCGACCTACTGGTTCGATCATCTCATCTGAGGTAGTGACCGTAACCACTGATGTTCTGAAGAAGTGTACGCGACCTTGGTGCTGAAGCTCAATCGGTACCCTCTGAAAGTTACGATAGATGACCAAAAACACTACTCGCCAGAAAACGCAAAAGAAGAAAAAATTTAACACGTAAAGTATAGAAAAAGGGTTCCCGGAAACAGCTGTATCTCTGGGCAAAATCAAAATTTTGGAATTTCGAAAAAAGCAATGGAAAGGGACGGAAAAATCCTACTCAATAAAGCAATAAAAAAATTTTTGAGTTTAAGGTGTATGTGTCCCCTTAAACGACATGCACTGCTGCACTAGTCCTCTCTTTGAGCCGATGGCCAATCAGCGCTCTCGCATCATATATAAGCGAGGCGCCCGCGAAGCCGAGGAGCCGCGTGAAGTCGTCTCTTAGCAGCCAGCCAGAAAGCCTCACGCTCGCGTC